GCATCCTGCCAACCGTGCTTTCCATCTCTCCATTGATGCTTGAACTCTCCACAAAGCTTTGCATTGTGACCCCATGGTCCCACATGAACCTCAGAGCAGTAACCACACGCCTTTACCGTGTACTTCTTCATTAGCTTCCTAACACCCCATCTCACTTTCTCGTAAGCTTCCACTGTTTCCTGCGCGATTCGAGGTATGTCGTGCAAGTCGGGCTGAGTGTATCGTTCGAAGGCCCCATAAGTGTCAAGATCAGAGAGGGCTGATGATGATGATGTGTTTCCCGAGCGCCATGGCATGGGCTCCTCGATGAATCCACCTCTGTCGAGCAATTTCCGACCCAACATTCTGATGGGCTTCGTTCTTCGCCTGGAAGGGTACTCTGGTATTTCTACGCCAGCTTGGATGCAGAGTTCCACAATTGCTGGAATCCTGTCGTAGTCGAACCGAGTTTCATGCTTGATGCGCCGCCCAAATGGGTCGTAGAGATGGTATGACTCAATCGGGATGAGTATGTCGTTGATCGAACCTCTAACCCATGAGTGCAAGCTGCGGCGGGTTGCATTCATAGGACCCAGGCAGTTCTTGATCTGATGGCCAGCGTGAGCCAAGTGAACTTCTGAGCATTCACTGTGAAGGAGCAAAACACAAAGGGATGCCTAAACTCATCATCGAAGCTCAGTCGTTCATTGAATTAAACGAACATTCTGTTTGCTTACTTTACCTGCAGCCATAGACAGGAATGACGTGCAGGAGCTGTGCAACACCTTTGATCAGCGCTTTCCAAGCATCAAGCAGCTCGTATGCAACGGGGACCAACTCCGGGACGAGTAATCCATTTTTGGGAGGTTCGAGTGGCTTCTCCATCCCCATTTGTGCCATCTTTCTATCCTCCTTGGCAGCCTGTTGGATCTTTCTGAAAGGGATAGGGAAGGGTTTCTTCTTCTGCTTGGGTAATACCGGTGGTAGATCAACATTTTGGAGATACCCATCTTGGTTCCTGCCCTTGGAGGATGGCTTCTCATAGTAACTGGCACAGTAGACAGCCCTAAAAATTGTTGTCCTTCTTCTTGGATGAACCTGCAGAGAAACCCACATTGGAATAAGAAAAGTTGAGTACAATTGAAGCTCAAGTGCTATAATCTGCCATAGCCCAGAGTCGCAATTTACTATTACTTTTAACACTAAAGACAAGTGAAGACGTTCAGGGACCTTATTCTGGCTGTAATTCAATGATTCTCTTGTTTTCTCTTTGTAATTTTTGGATAAAGATTCAGACTTGATGAACGGAAGATGCAATAGAGAAGACCGAGAGAGTGAAAGAAAGAAAAACCTTGAAGCTAAGAGCTTTTGTTGGGAAAGCAACAGTAGGACCCCAGAAAGACACCGCACTGCCCGAGCAAACACCTGAAATACAGTCAGCCGTTGGAAATGAACTAGGGTTAGCTAGTTTTGCAGCTTTGAGAAGAACAGCGCCGGAATCCATGGCATGGCGGGAAGAAATGAAAGAGTAAAGAAGTGGCCTCTGTGAGATGAATCCCATGGAGAATTGGAAGCAGATGATGATGGTATGTGCGGCAGCAGCATTTATTTGTTTAGAGATGAGAGGAAATGGATGCTTCCTGTTTGTTATGAACGAAGAAAACGAACATAAAGAGAGCGTTCAACAGTACGAACGGAACAGAGGAGGGTTTTGATCGAAAATCCCAATCTCATTCCTCCAGCTTCTGTTCTTGGGCTTTCAGTTAACAAACGATTTTGATCTGTCTCTTTAAATAGCCCACAATCTAAAAAGGCCAGTCAAGCAAGCCCAAATAAGTTACAGGCCCAATAGGGCGAGATCGGCCTGCACAGTGAGTGTACCCTACACTTCAAGAGGGGAGAGCCCTTTAATAACTGCTAAATATTGTGATATTGTATCTCAATTTTAAAATATATATGTATCTCAAATTTCAATCTCGCTATTAAACTAAGAGTCATATAATTCTGTTTACACCTAAAATATTTTTGGCCTAAATTCAATGCCGTAATAATGAGTCTCGGCATTTAATTCGATATCGCATGGTCAAAACGATGTCCTTTGGAGTCGAGCAATATCGCGGAGAATTTAAGCGAGACCACGAAGAGGCTCGGCGGTACCGCGGTACTTGAAACGACATTGGTGGCAGACTATGTGTGAGTCATGCGCAGGACATGTGTTGCTGTTGGACAAGGAATGTTTTTTTATTCTTTTTTTCCTTGTCGGAGGAGGAGAGTAACAACACCGTTTGGAGTCAAGCAATGTTGCGAAGAGATAAAACGGTGTCGCGAACCTCAAAGCTCAACGGCATCGCGAGACTGGGAAACTATGTCGTTTGGCTAAAAACGACACCGCGACAAGCGGCATCGCGGATGAGTTAAAACGATACCGCAAGGGAGCTCAACGGTACCGTTGTGCTAGAGAAAACGACAGTGTTTAATATAAAACAATGTCGCTGAGAAAAAGCAAACGGAGCTGTTTGAGGAAGAAAATGATACCGCAAGTAAGCCCAACAATGTTGTGGTACGTGAAATATTTAATTAATGCGGTGTCTCAAGGCTAAAAATGCCGCTAGTTAAACAACAACGCAGCGGAATTGATGTCACGGTCGCAAATTCAGTGGCGTTGCGAATTCGACAACGCCGAGAAATTCAACGATGCCGCAAGGCCAAAACAACATCGTGGAGCTCAACGACGTAGTGAGCTTGTCGGTGTTGCAAGTTGAGCAATGCCGTGAATGGGTTCAACGATGTCGTTATGGAAACTTTGTTGGTGGAGGCGTAAACGACGTCGCGGGCTCATGAAAATAACAAAGTTATTTTCTTCCACGGGAGATTCGGGAGTGAAGAGAAGATCAAAGCGGTTGAAGACTACGACTCTGTGGATAAGAGTGAAAACACGTGGGAGTTCACGACGGAGCGGTTGAGGAAGCAGTTTCACAGGGCGTGAGGACTACGCAAGTGATTTCAAATAAAAGCAGCGGAGCAAGGAGAGAGAGAGGGACAACTAAATCAACACAGAACAACTCTGTCAAAACTTTACCTTTTCTCTGTAACTCCTTCGCGGAGCTCTCCTTCCAGGAAGGATCTCCATAGTTGTAGTCTTAGTCGTAGTCGTGGAGCTCTCCACAGGAATCTCCATAGGAATAGCGATAGCGTAGATTCCTCAAAACTCAAACACCCTCGTTCGAACGTAGTTTGGAGAGGCGCGAACCGTAGTAACGGTCGTTCTTGGTTAGAAGTCAGAGGTGCATCGATCAAATCAACACCGCCCGGCGGTGGATATTTGACGGTCACGTTGATTTCACCATTTAGAGGTGCATCGATCAAATCAACGGCGCCGACATTCGGCGGCGAATATTTGACGGTCGTCTCGATTTCAGCAATCAGCGGTGCTTCCGATCAAACGGCACCGCAAGAGTTTCCACCGCGAAATATCAAATCAACATCGACGGAAACGAATTCGGCACCGGCGGTGGCATTTGTTTTTCCCGAGGAAACATTTTGGCACGCTCGGTGGGATTTCGAACAAAGATGTTCGAGCTAGACGAACTGGAGAGTTGCAAGCCAACATTGATTCCAAAAGATCAAAACCAACGTGTGTAAAGCCAACTGTGGTGAATCAGAGTATCTATGGATGGCTTGTGTGGTTTGATCCGTGTAGTTGGCGGTGGGTGTGGACCTTTGGCATGATGGTTTATGCCAAAGCCAACCATATTTTTGTTTAGCTATATAAAAAATAATAAAATTTGGCTAATTTAGGCCATGTGATAAATATATATAAACAAAAGAAAATAATTATTATTATAAAAATATATATAATTAAGCGGTATTGTTAGGAAGGAGCCACAACGTTGTTGTTAATGGTTCAAGATGGCAAGCGGTATTGTTTTCTCTTTTCTAATAGTGTTGGAGGGACACAACACTTTCAGATCCACAACAATGTAGGATTTTTGGCGAAAAATATAAGCAATTTAAAATTCGCCATAGCTGCGTTGCTGGATAAAACTGCAAAAACGGTGATGTTGAGAGGAGTGAAAAATCAGACCTGTTTTGGGACAAACAGCGGCGTGGGAGTTAAAAGCAGTGTTGTTTGTGGCCAAGGATTAGTAAAAAAAAAAAAAAAAGTAACAATGGCCGCAACAACGCTGTTAAATAATAATAAAAAAAAAAATTTGGCGAAGGTAACACGTATAAGAAAATCCACAGCGTTGTAATGGGTCTTGGCAGCAGTGTTGGCCGAAAACGTGTCGCAGTGCGAGAGGAAAAATAGGATCTCAGGTTAACGAGATCTAAACAACACTGTCGCTACAGCAGTGATGCAGGCCAGCTTGCGTGACATTGCAGGGATTTTAACAACCGGCCAGCTAGGGGAAGAAAAAATAAATAAATACAAAACCTATCCGTTCAAAACAAACATGGTTGCAGATTCAGCTTACAGGTATGACAACATTGTTTTTTCCATACATGGCTATATCAATACAACGATGTTCTTGCGTGATGCAGTGATTTGTTTGTTTAGTTATTAAATATTTGGGTCCTGTTTAACCAAAGGTTTGTTCTCCCCTGGCAACGTTGGCATGGTTGAGTTTAATCATGTTGCCAAAATTTGGTGTGATATAAATATTATCAGGCATGGTAACTTGGCAAACATTTTTCCTTCTGCCAATTCCATCTAGGTCTTTTGATAAGAAAATTCTAGGTAGTATATTTTATGTCAACAACTTGGTTCATAAATTCTTATAAACCAAGTTGTGGGGGCATTGTTTAAACCTAAAATATTTTTGGCCTAAATTCAATGCCGTAATAATAAATCTCGGCATTTAATTCGATATCGCATGGCCAAAATGATGTCCTTTGGAGTCGAGCAATACCGCGGAGAATTTAAGCGAGACCGCGAAGAGGCTCGGCGAAACCGCGGTACTTGAAACGACATTGGTGGCAGACCATGTGTGAGTCATGCGCAGGACATGTGTTGCTGTTGGACAAAGAATGTTTTTTTATTCTTTTTTTCCTTGTCGGAGGAGGAGAGTAACAACACTGTTTGGAGTCAAGCAATGTTGCGAAGAGATAAAACGGTGTCGCGAACCTCAAAGCTCAACGGCATCGCGAGACTGGGAAACGATGTCGTTTGGCTAAAAACGGCACCGCGACAAGCGGCATCGCGGATGAGTTAAAACGATACCGCAAGGAAGCTCAACGGTACCGTTGTGCTAGAGAAAACGACAGTGTTTAATATAAAACAATGTCGCTGAGAAAAAGCAAACGGAGCTGTTTGAGGAAGAAAACGATACCGCAAGTAAGCCCAACAATGTTGTGGTACGTGAAATATTTAATTAATGCGGTGTCTCAAGGCTAAAAATGCCGCTAGTTAAACAACAACGCAGCGGAATTGATGTCACGGTCGCAAATTCAGTGGCGTTGCGAATTCGACAACGCCGAGAAATTCAACGATGCCGCAAGGCCAAAACAACATCGTGGAGCTCAACGACGTAGTGAGCTTGACGTTGTTGCAAGTTGAGCAATGCCGTGAATGGGTTCAACGATGTCGTTATGGAAACTTTGTTGGTGGAGGCGTAAACGACGTCGCGGGCTCATGAAAATAACAAAGTTATTTTCTTCCACGGGAGATTCGGGAGTGAAGAGAAGATCAAAGCGGTTGAAGACTACAACTCTGTGGATAAGAGTGAAAACACGTGGGAGTTCACGACGGAGCGGTTGAGGAAGCAGTTCCACAGGGCGTGAAGACTACGCAAGTGATTTCAAATAAAAGCAGCGGAGCAAGGAGAGAGAGAGGGACAACCAAATCAACACAGAACAACTCTGTCAAAACTTTACCTTTTCTCTGTAACTCCTTCGCGGAGCTCTCCTTCCAGGAAGGATCTCCATAGTTGTAGTCTTAGTCGTAGTCGTGGAGCTCTCCACAGGAATCTCCATAGGAGTAGCGGTAGCGTAGATTCCTCAAAAATCAAACACCCTCGTTCGAACGTAGTTTGGAGAGGCGCGAACCGTAGTAACGGTCGTTCTTGGTTAGAAGTCAGAGGTGCATCGATCAAATCAACACCGCCCGGCGGTGGATATTTGACGGTCACGTTGATTTCACCATTTAGAGGTGCATCGATCAAATCAACGGCGCCGACATTCGGCGGCGAATATTTGACGGTCGTCTCGATTTCAGCAATCAGCGGTGCTTCCGATCAAACGGCACCGCAAGAGTTTCCACCGCGAAATATCAAATCAACATCGACGGAAACGAATTCGGCACCGGCGGTGGCATTTGTTTTTCCCGAGGAAACATTTTGGCACGCTCGGTGGGATTTCGAACAAAGATGTTCGAGCTAGACGAACTGGAGAGTTGGAAGCCAACAATGATTCCAAAAGATCAAAACCAACGTGTGTAAAGCCAACTGTGGTGAATCAGAGTATCTATGGATGGCTTGTGTGGTTTGATCCGTGTAGTTGGCGGTGGGTGTGGACCTTTGGCATGATGGTTTATGCCAAAGCCAACCATATTTTTGTTTAGCTATATAAAAAATAATAAAATTTGGCTAATTTAGGCCATGTGATAAATATATATAAACAAAAGAAAATAATTATTATTATAAAAATATATATAATTAAGCGGTATTGTTAGGAAGGAGCCACAACGTTGTTGTTAATGGTTCAAGATGGCAAGCGGTATTGTTTTCTCTTTTCTAATAGTGTTGGAGGGACACAACACTTTCAGATCCACAACAATGTAGGATTTTTGGCGAAAAATATAAGCAATTTAAAATTCGCCATAGCTGCGTTGCTGGATAAAACTGCAAAAACGGTGATGTTGAGAGGAGTGAAAAATCAGACCTGTTTTGGGACAAACAGCGGCGTGGGAGTTAAAAGCAGTGTTGTTTGTGGCCAAGGATTAGTAAAAAAAAAAAAAACAGTAACAATGGCCGCAACAACGCTGTTAAATAATAATAAAAAAAAAATTTGGCGAAGGTAACACGTATAAGAAAATCCACAGCGTTGTAATGGGTCTTGGCAGCAGTGTTGGCCGAAAACGTGTCGCAGTGCGAGAGGAAAAATAGTATCTCAGGTTAACGAGATCTAAACAACACTGTCGCTACAGCAGTGATGCAGGCCAGCTTGCGTGACATTGCAGGGATTTTAACAACCGGCCAGCTAGGGGAAGAAAAAATAAATAAATACAAAACCTATCCGTTCAAAACAAACATGGTTGCAGATTCAGCTTACAGGTATGACAACATTGTTTTTTCCATACATGGCTATATCAATACAACGATGTTCTTGCGTGATGCAGTGATTTGTTTGTTTAGTTATTAAATATTTGGGTCCTGTTTAACCAAAGGTTTGTTCTCCCCTGGCAACGTTGGCATGGTTGAGTTTAATCATGTTGCCAAAATTTGGTGTGATATAAATATTATCAGGCATGGTAACTTGGCAAACATTTTTCCTTCTGCCAATTCCATCTAGGTCTTTTGATAAGAAAATTCTAGGTAGTATATTTTATGTCAACAACTTGGTTCATAAATTCTTATAAACCAAGTTGTGGGGGCATTGTTTACACCTAAAATATTTTTGGCCTAAATTCAATGCCGTAATAATAAATCTCGGCATTTAATTCGATATCGCATGGCCAAAACGATGTCCTTTGGAGTCGAGCAATACCGCGGAGAATTTAAGCGAGACCGCGAAGAGGCTCGGCGGTACCGCGGTACTTGAAATGACATTGGTGGCAGACCATGTGTGAGTCATGCGCAGGACATGTGTTGCTGTTGGACAAGGAATGTTTTTTTATTCTTTTTTTCCTTGTCGGAGGAGGAGAGTAACAACACCGTTTGGAGTCAAGCAATGTTGCGAAGAGATAAAACGGTGTCGCGAACCTCAAAGCTCAACGGCATCGCGAGACTGGGAAACGATGTCGTTTGGCTAAAAACGGCACCGCGACAAGCGGCATCGCGGATGAGTTAAAACAATACCGCAAGGAAGCTCAACGGTACCGTTGTGCTAGAGAAAACGACAGTGTTTAATATAAAACAATGTCGCTGAGAAAAAGCAAACGGAGCTGTTTGAGGAAGAAAACGATACCGCAAGTAAGCCCAACAATGTTGTGGTACGTGAAATATTTAATTAATGCGGTGTCTCAAGGCTAAAAATGCCGCTAGTTAAACAACAACGCAGCGGAATTGATGTCACGGTCGCAAATTCAGTGGCGTTGCGAATTCGACAACGCCGAGAAATTCAACGATGCCGCAAGGCCAAAACAACATCGTGGAGCTCAACGACGTAGTGAGCTTGACGGTGTTGCAAGTTGAGCAATGCCGTGAATGGGTTCAACGATGTCGTTATGGAAACTTTGTTGGTGGAGGCGTAAACGACGTCGCGGGCTCATGAAAATAACAAAGTTATTTTCTTCCACGGGAGATTCGGGAGTGAAGAGAAGATCAAAGCGGTTGAAGACTACGACTCTGTGGATAAGAGTGAAAACACATGGGAGTTCACGACGGAGCGGTTGAGGAAGCAGTTCCACAGGGCGTGAAGACTACGCAAGTGATTTCAAATAAAAGCAGCGGAGCAAGGAGAGAGAGAGGGACAACCAAATCAACACAGAACAACTCTGTCAAAACTTTACCTTTTCTCTGTAACTCCTTCGCGGAGCTCTCCTTCCAGGAAGGATCTCCATAGTTGTAGTCTTAGTCGTAGTCGTGGAGCTCTCCACAGGAATCTCCATAGGAGTAGCGGTAGCGTAGATTCCTCAAAACTCAAACACCCTCGTTCGAACGTAGTTTGGAGAGGCGCGAACCGTAGTAACGGTCGTTCTTGGTTAGAAGTCAGAGGTGCATCGATCAAATCAACACCGCCCGGCGGTGGATATTTGACGGTCACGTTGATTTCACCATTTAGAGGTGCATCGATCAAATCAACGGCGCCGACATTCGGCGGCGAATATTTGACGGTCGTCTCGATTTCAGCAATCAGCGGTGCTTCCGATCAAACGGCACCGCAAGAGTTTCCACCGCGAAATATCAAATCAACATCGACGGAAACGAATTCGGCACCGGCGGTGGCATTTGTTTTTCCCGATATCGCATGGCCAAAACGATGTCCTTTGGAGTCGAGCAATACCGCGGAGAATTTAAGCGAGACCGCGAAGAGGCTCGGCGGTACCGCGGTACTTGAAACGACATTGGTGGCAGACCATGTGTGAGTCATGCGCAGGACATGTGTTGCTGTTGGACAAGGAATGTTTTTTTATTCTTTTTTTCCTTGTCGGAGGAGGAGAGTAACAACACCGTTTGGAGTCAAGCAATGTTGCGAAGAGATAAAACGGTGTCGCGAACCTCAAAGCTCAACGGCATCGCGAGACTGGGAAACGAAGTCGTTTGGCTAAAAACGGCACCGCGACAAGCGGCATCGCGGATGAGTTAAAACGATACCGCAAGGAAGCTCAACGGTACCGTTGTGCTAGAGAAAACGACAGTGTTTAATGAAGCTCAAGTGCTATAATCTGCCATAGCCCAGAGTCGCAATTTACTATTACTTTTAACACTAAAGACAAGTGAAGACGTTCAGGGACCTTATTCTGGCTGTAATTCAATGATTCTCTTGTTTTCTCTTTGTAATTTTTGGATAAAGATTCAGACTTGATGAACGGAAGATGCAATAGAGAAGACCGAGAGAGTGAAAGAAAGAAAAACCTTGAAGCTAAGAGCTTTTGTTGGGAAAGCAACAGTAGGACCCCAGAAAGACACCGCACTGCCCGAGCAAACACCTGAAATACAGTCAGCCGTTGGAAATGAACTAGGGTTAGCTAGTTTTGCAGCTTTGAGAAGAACAGCGCCGGAATCCATGGCATGGCGGGAAGAAATGAAAGAGTAAAGAAGTGGCCTCTGTGAGATGAATCCCATGGAGAATTGGAAGCAGATGATGATGGTATGTGCGGCAGCAGCATTTATTTGTTTAGAGATGAGAGGAAATGGATGCTTCCTGTTTGTTATGAACGAAGAAAACGAACATAAAGAGAGCGTTCAACAGTACGAACGGAACAGAGGAGGGTTTTGATCGAAAATCCCAATCTCATTCCTCCAGCTTCTGTTCTTGGGCTTTCAGTTAACAAACGATTTTGATCTGTCTCTTTAAATAGCCCACAATCTAAAAAGGCCAGTCAAGCAAGCCCAAATAAGTTACAGGCCCAATAGGGCGAGATCGGCCTGCACAGTGAGTGTACCCTACACTTCAAGAGGGGAGAGCCCTTTAATAACTGCTAAATATTGTGATATTGTATCTCAATTTTAAAATATATATGTATCTCAAATTTCAATCTCGCTATTAAACTAAGAGTCATATAATTCTGTTTACACCTAAAATATTTTTGGCCTAAATTCAATGCCGTAATAATGAGTCTCGGCATTTAATTCGATATCGCATGGTCAAAACGATGTCCTTTGGAGTCGAGCAATATCGCGGAGAATTTAAGCGAGACCACGAAGAGGCTCGGCGGTACCGCGGTACTTGAAACGACATTGGTGGCAGACTATGTGTGAGTCATGCGCAGGACATGTGTTGCTGTTGGACAAGGAATGTTTTTTTATTCTTTTTTTCCTTGTCGGAGGAGGAGAGTAACAACACCGTTTGGAGTCAAGCAATGTTGCGAAGAGATAAAACGGTGTCGCGAACCTCAAAGCTCAACGGCATCGCGAGACTGGGAAACTATGTCGTTTGGCTAAAAACGACACCGCGACAAGCGGCATCGCGGATGAGTTAAAACGATACCGCAAGGGAGCTCAACGGTACCGTTGTGCTAGAGAAAACGACAGTGTTTAATATAAAACAATGTCGCTGAGAAAAAGCAAACGGAGCTGTTTGAGGAAGAAAATGATACCGCAAGTAAGCCCAACAATGTTGTGGTACGTGAAATATTTAATTAATGCGGTGTCTCAAGGCTAAAAATGCCGCTAGTTAAACAACAACGCAGCGGAATTGATGTCACGGTCGCAAATTCAGTGGCGTTGCGAATTCGACAACGCCGAGAAATTCAACGATGCCGCAAGGCCAAAACAACATCGTGGAGCTCAACGACGTAGTGAGCTTGACGGTGTTGCAAGTTGAGCAATGCCGTGAATGGGTTCAACGACGTCGTTATGGAAACTTTGTTGGTGGAGGCGTAAACGACGTCGCGGGCTCATGAAAATAACAAAGTTATTTTCTTCCACGGGAGATTCGGGAGTGAAGAGAAGATCAAAGCGGTTGAAGACTATGACTCTGTGGATAAGAGTGAAAACACGTGGGAGTTCACGACGGAGCGGTTGAGGAAGCAGTTCCACAGGGCGTGAAGACTACGCAAGTGATTTCAAATAAAAGCAGCGGAGCAAGGAGAGAGAGAGGGACAACCAAATCAACACAGAACAACTCTGTCAAAACTTTACCTTTTCTCTGTAACTCGTTCGCGGAGCTCTCCTTCCAGGAAGGATCTCCATAGTTGTAGTCTTAGTCGTAGTCGCGGAGCTCTCCACAGGAATCTCCATAGGAGTAGCGGTAGCGTAGATTCCTCAAAACTCAAACACCCTCGTTCGAACGTAGTTTGGAGAGGCGCGAACCGTAGTAACGGTCGTTCTTGGTTAGAAGTCAGAGGTGCATCGATCAAATCAACACCGCCCGGCGGTGGATATTTGACGGTCACGTTGATTTCACCATTTAGAGGTGCATCGATCAAATCAACGGCGCCGACATTTGGCGGCGGATATTTGACGGTCGTCTCGATTTCAGCAATCAGCGGTGCTTCCGATCAAACGGCACCGCAAGAGTTTCCACCGCGAAATATCAAATCAACATCGACGGAAACGAATTCGGCACCGGCGGTGGCATTTGTTTTTCCCGAGGCAACAAATTCATAAGTATAAATACCAAGATTTAATAAGGCGTAAAACTGTGTGTACATGCTAGGTAGTGATAAAAAGCATCACCTAGGCTTTAAGCAGACAATTAGGCATTCATAACACCTAGACGACATTTAGGCAAAACTAAGTATGATTAATTGGCGTGAAGCATAATTAATCAAGATGCGACGTGTTTAAGTGCACTAACAGACCAACGATTAAAAAGAATTTATAGCTAATCTTCCCAAAATGACGCAATCTCCCGACTCTTTGTCATTCTCTTCACCCTCGTCGGCTGTAGAGGCCACAATATATAACTTCTAAAACTTATGATTGTTTTCAAGGGTTAGCTAAGCTATTAGGCATAATACACTTGTATAGCCAAAACTTTAGCGTTTGTGCCAATAATAGCCAAATTTGGAGAAATACCACTTATAGCAACTTTCGTTCAATTCTTTAACGGTGTTACCGCTAACTCTGGCAGGACAAGCGAAGATGCTGACGTGGCGAGCTCTTATTTCCAATTTCCTATGTAATTGTCCACGTGTTTAATGATTAATTGAAAAAATTCCATAAAAATAGAAAAAACCCTCATTTGACCAGACTTATCGTTCTTATCTTCATCTTCTTGGAAATCCCCTTGCCATCGATTGAAGCGGCAATTCCTCGCCGCTTTCCCGACCTCAAACCAAAGTCTCACTACCTCCGTTGTCGCCATCGTCGCTGTTAATCCAAGAAACCCTAGCTCGAGAAAATAATCGTCGATTGTCTGGTTAGGATCGAGGGGGAGGACGATCTAATTGGAAGTCCTCCCGGTGAAGAGATTCGTGAAATCCGAATCTTGCATCAATTCCAGAGAATCCGGTACAGAGTATCCCTCCGGTAAAGCTCGTTCTCCTACAAGCCGACGGTGAATTCCGAGACCTTGAAGTACTGATAAACATGCAAGCAATCTTCCACGACTCTCCACCATTTTTGGGGGAGGTAAATCAGCCCAGTCTTGTACAGAGCCACGCGAAGCAGATAAAATAGAGTAGCAATGGCTATCACAATAAGCATCGACTGGTAAAAAATCTTCATGGTTGCGATTTTTCCAAAAACCAAAGCGCAAAAAATCGAGCTAACCAGAGAAGGACGGGCTCTCCAATTCGGCTCAACAACAAGTGAAGGTGAGAACATCAAGCTACCCTCATTAACGGCGCTAGACAATAGAAATCGTCCTCTTCTCTGATTTGCGGCAAATTTGGGGAGGAATCGTCGCTTCAATCGCCGACAGGCAGGGGGCAAACCCTAAAAACTAAATTGGGGAAAGAGGAGGAGAGACGTTTCGTGCAAAGCAGATAGGGTATATGAGTAGCGATAGCAATAGGTCGGGCTGGGGCGAGTTTTGCCAAACCCAAACCCAAACCCATGGGTTTATTCGCCAAAAAATCCTGGGTAAAACCCGCTGGTCGCTTGGGAAGAAAGATCGCAACTCCGGGTTGGATCCAGTCCTTAAGCCTCATTGTTTAAGGAGGTTCTTAAAGCATTTTTATTGGCTGATAATAGATTAGGTAGTTAATAGTTAGTTGGAATAAATAAGATATTATGAAAATATAATTAATATTACTCATTAATGATTCTCTTTCTCTCTCCCCCTTGATTTTCTCCATAACCCTCTCTCTCCACTACAATTAAAAGAAAATTCGAAATTAATTTAATTAAATATTTTATTTAATATTTATAAATTCGAACTTAATATTTTTTATTTTTTAAACTGAAAATTGAAAATTAAAAATATATGCTCTCTCTCACTTCGTGGCAACTTGAAATACAATATTAACATTTTGCAATGACATTATCAACATTTATGAAATGAATCGTTATTATTATACTTCATCGTTATTATTAACAATTTTGGATCAATTGTTACTGTTTTATAGTTTCGTCATCAACGCCTATGAATGAATCATTAAAGTTATGTAACATAGTCATTAATAGTTTGAATAACAATATCATTGATTTACAACATCTTTAGTACTGATGATTCACATTTTCACATCATATTTATAACTATCTAGTCATGGTCTCTTCCAATGATTTCTAATGACATTATTAACGTTTTATTATCAATTAATATTGTTTTACATTATCATTCTCAATGATCATAAAACACAATATTGATCTTCAACATCTCGGGTACTTGTGACATAGTGCACCTGTGTGATTCAGTCAAACAAACATTGTCCAGAAAAATATTAGCTCAAGCAAATTAACATTCACGCCTCAACACCAAACTTTAAATAACAATACAATAAATCATTGATAACGAAAAGTATTTCGTTGAAAATAAACACAAAACATCAATGTAAAAATGTCCGACTTCAATATTATAAATGACATCAAACTTTTAATAAAGATATTAAAAACCATTAATATCGAATGATTAAGTCACTGATAAGGAAATAGATTTTTGTAATAAAAAATATTAATAATATTCAGATGCAATGTTTATTGTCAAATAGCACTAAAAACACATTAATAAGTAACATGTGTTTAATGGATAATGCATCCAAAAACTTTGATAATGATAGCAACTAATGATTGTTAAGTACCTTATGAGATATTATTAATATCTTATTTTCAAACATTGATAATGCTTATACACGCCTATTAATAATGACACCAACTACGTTACTAACTTAGATGGAAAGATTAATAACCATAATTATATAATTAAACGTAAATTCACTTTTGATAATGTCATAAACAAATGAATATCTAACAAGTATGCTTCTTGATAATGACATTTGACAAAGTTACAAACATAAACGAAAAAAATATTAATAATTCAAATCACTAAACATAAGCAATCTTACAAATGAAATAAATTTTTGCTAATGGTTGTATTGTGCTTGGAAAAAAAACATTGATAATAGCACTTCAAATGATTATAAATCATTGCGAACCAAATTGATAATACGATGTTATAGTAAATAAACTTCAAGTACCAACAAATTGAAAACACAATTTCACTTTTGCTAATGTTACAAACAAAACATAACATAAAAATTTAATAATGTCATATAAAATTATTAAAAAATATGTAGAACAACATTAATAATAACACAAACGAATACCTAACAACGAAAAATCTCAAACCCATGCAATGAAAAGCCCTAACGATGATTCAATTTATAAATATTGATAATGTCATTACAAAATGTTAATACTTAATATTAATCGGAAGTTGCTAAGATGTGAGAGAGACATATATTTTAAATTTCAAATTTCCATTTTAGAAAACGAAAATTATTAAATTCGGATTTTAATAAATATTAAATAAAATTAATTTCATATTTCTTTTTAATTATAATGTAGAGAGGGTTATGGAGAAAATCATGGGAGGAGAGAGAAAGAGAATCATTAATTAATTATATTAATTATATTTACATAACCCTATTTACCTTTAACTACCTATTAACTACTAACCCCCATTAACTATCTAATCCACTATCAGCCAATAAAAAGATTTTAAGATTTTCCTTGAGGCTTAAGGACTTGAACTCAAGCCTCTAAGACTTTTATCTGCCGGTCGCTTGCTTCATTAAGTTTCAAGATCTTGTCTCTGAGTTTCTTGTTGATGGTTGTAATATGAAAAGAATTTTGCACTTGTCATGCTTTTACATAATTATTACTAACAAGGCTCAATCTCAGTAAAAACTAAAAAAGAGACATCAAATCATTAGGGACGGGATACGGTGACAACCCCTAAGGGGGTTGTAAGATTCACAACCAAGGGTATTTTGGGTATGAAAAAAAGGAATATATTAATTACCTCTTTTGTATTAATTATATTGGGAATTAAAAATCCATATTAAATATTTTTTTTTTTAAATTTAAATCCTATACATTAATATCTCTATCTATCTCTCTCTCTCTCTTCCTTTCTCCAGCGGCCACTCCGCATCGACCGACAAACTTTTTCTCCGGCGAATTCTCTCCGGCAGACTCCCTCCGGCAACCTGAAAAAATGTACCAGTGCGTTAAAAAGTGTACCAATCTATTAGTCTACTGGTAATTAATATACCAGTGCTAGTGGTACGCTACCAGTACGTTAAAAAATGTACCAGTACTAGCGGTACCAGTAAAAAATGTACCAGTACTAGTGGTATGCTACCAGTACAACGATACCACTACCATATTGGTAGCGGTACCAGTAGAGAATAACACAAAGCTACTACCAGTAGAGAATAACACAATAAAAAACCCAGATGATAGTGGTACCAGATGATAGGGGAGCCACTGGTATTGGTACCAGTAGAGACTAAAACAAAAAATCAGATCGCCGTCCCTCCCACGGCGCACGAAACCAACCCAATCGCACGGCTACCGCCGCCGCACAACCGATCCCTCACGAAATTCGCGAACGACATGCCGGGCGTCGATTCGGCGTGGAGAGGGACTACCCCCGTCTCCCAGTGGAGATCGGCTGAGAGGCGGAGGATTGCAGGGTGAGATTCGCACTCCGGCGGCACGATCCCGTCCTAGATCTTTTTGTGGTGGTTGGCAATTACGCCGCCGCGGCCGGCCATGTTGCTCTGGCCCGATAGGATGAAGACCTGCGACGGTGAATCCTGCTACACAGGAGAGAGGGAGGAGAGAGAGAGGGAGGATGGATGAGTTAGGGTTTTTGTTCTTTTTATATGGTAGGGTGAATGATTGGGTGTGGTAAATTTTTACCCTTCTTTTAATCTTAACCGTTAATTTAAAAAAAAAAAAAGACAGAAGAGAGAGCGTATCCAAGGGCTATGAAGTGGTTGTGAATCTGACAACCCCTTAGGGTTGTCACCGTATCTCGTCCCCAAATCATTACTAACAAGTAACAAAGCAATGCTTATACTCCTATGAACATAGTAAATATAAATTGTTACCAACAATACATCAGATCATTAATAACAAACAACAAAACCATCATAATTGAACCATTGATGGATTGATCGAACTACAACGATACATCCAGCAAGCCACAACATGACCTTCATACTCTGTCATATGATTTTTTTTTATTGAAATCTCTTCTTCAACAAATGAGTGGCAACATCGATCATTTCTCTAATAACGACAAAACCAATTTTGACTTACCAGAATGCCCCTTACACTCTCATCACCTCTTTTCCATTTATAAGTGACTTGATTAGTTCACAAAGCAAAATTGTTATCTTCTTTTCTTTTTCTTCCTAGGGAGAGAGGGGATGGGTTCATCAAGGATGGACTTGGATACACTAACCATTTCCTCATTAGTGTACCCATCATCGTTCATGTAAAAGAGGTGACACGCCTTTGCCATGTTCCAAAACAATTGCTTGCAGCAATTTGGTATTCCCTTCTCCTTCTCCAGCAATACCAACCTCAACAGTTGCTTCCTCTCCCTCTCAATTGCTCTCTTCACCTCTTCCATGGCGTCGTCCAAGGTCCGGCCACCTTCATGCAGCAGCACCGAGACCGCATTCACCGTCCCTTGCTCCGACTCCCTCTGTGGAAACCATAGTAACACAGTCTAAAACACATCGCCAAACCCACAAAACTTGCTCTGAGTAATGAATTCAGATCTAGAGAGAGCTATTTCACCTGAACTCCTCTCCAGTCATTGAGCAAGCGCCCGCAAGTGCTCACCCTTTCGTACAAGTTCTTATACTCTGGACTACTCACCATCTCCTCCGAGAGTTTTGGCCCTACCAAGTAAAGAGCTGAAAGTACAATCGGACCTAATGCGAATGACACAAGTCCGTTCTTCATATATTCCTCCATTGTCGGCACCCACTTGTTCCTTGACCATTCTGCTTCTTTCAGTCCTGCCTTCACCAATTCTACCCACTGTAAAAAATCGTTAACATTACCATGTGGTAGAAATGAAGATTAGATACCTACCCATCTCAAGTATTATTCCCTGTCTCTGAAAATTATGTTCAACCAATGATGAATTGAAAGATGTCTCACTAAGCTTGATGTCAAATAAGTGATCACCTAACATAAGAGATGTATATGATAATGGAGAATCCTAGTGGGTCATAACCAGTATAGGAAAGAAAAGAGCTTTTCAACTCACAATATCATTTACATGACCGGTAACATCACGTTCTTGCCGTGCCAATGCCATGCCTCCAATCTCAAGAATGGTGCCTCGGATAGCTGTGAAAAGGATCTCAACTTGCTCAGAACAGAAATCTGTGCTTCCATCCACTTCCCATCTGTGATTCATTTCAACAACATTAAGTTGAAACTGCCGATAGAGAAGAAGAATGATAAGCAGCAGTAAGAACAACATAATGGGAAGGTACCATACGTCTCAAGCAACTGAACAAGGTTTACTATTTCTTCCATGGAACCTCCAAAATCGAAAAAGTCATCCACAACTGTAGTGAGCACACCATTCTTGGTCCATGAGATGCGAGCATCAGATAATTCAGGTGCATAGAGAGTTGCAGCCGCTGAAAAGTAGCAATAACCCAGCTTCTGCCTCGCAAATGATAGCTTGTCCAACTTATTCTCAATAATCCATCTGTATACAAGAAGCCAGAGTTCTTAAGAATGATAGACGACAAGTAACAATTTAGCCGTTGCTGACAATTTTAAGCTTCTTGCAGGATGTTAAAGTTCAGCCCTAGAAAAGAATAGCTAACAACCTCCTAACACGTCATAGAAGAACTAGGCAGGATAATAAAAAGAAAGATTTAAAAATAGATAGTAGAATCATACATTTGAATAGGTATCTTGTTCCAGTGATAACCCTCTCAACAACCATGCAAAACAGCAAACAACAGAGAAGCAAAGTATCCAAGAATCACACCTTCCTAGCTGCTTGAGTTCTTTCTGCTGTATCGACTGGCAGAGGTTAAAGTCTTCGGCTGCCAGTTTAAGCAAATCCTTGTTCCCAATGTTTGGAAAACTAGTACCAAAAAGGGACAAAGCACAGTGAGCAGAATTAAAATTCTTCTAGATGTACTTCAGATTGAGGAAAAAAGGGAAAGAAGTGTACCAATAGGAGGTCTTCAAGGTCCAAGTGCTATCAATATCACTATACTGGTGAATATTTCTCCTATGGCCTAAGCGATCCAAATCAACATGATATGGATATGTGAGAGCATCATGCACCTGAAATTAAATGAAGGGTAGCTTAGAAAGGTTTTTTTTTTTTTTGGTGAGAAGCTTAGAAAGGTTTCAATCCAAGCACTGAAAATTGATTCCTTCTGCAGTGGTTTTTGCTCCAAAAACAGGAAAAAATGAACAATTCTTTTAAGGGTTCTTCTATCTCTCTTTCAAGCATATTCCATGGAAGAACTTTTTTCTCAAGCACTTACCCTGAGTAAATCATACCTTTGTGCTGATACTTTCACCAGGTTGGTCCACATAAATTGAGCCATTGCGGAATTCCTGTTTCAGGAATTTCGTGGTCCAAGAACTTATTTCTTCCAGGATAGGTTCTTCTGGATAAATTATTTGTGAAGCTTTGTGCAACTCTAGTACAGCTGTTTCGTCTTTCAAGTATCCTTCTAGTGAATCGAAGAAACAATCTTCTGAGAATGGAGATAGCCGATCTGTAGGTAATATTATCACAGCTAGTTAGAAGGTTCGACAGTAACAAAATAACATCATGCGATGAACAAAACATCATTTTCACGCATCTGAACAACATACCTGATGAGACATCATATCCATAGACACGTAACAATCTAAAAGCCACAGCACAAGTAGTAGTATCCAGAAAGATCTCTTCACCCCCCTGCAACCAGCATCTGCTTATGTGATAGGTGTGTCACGATTTCACTCATAAATTCAGGTAAATTGCAATCCTAGAGCTACGCAAAATCCAATAAAAGTTGTCGAAATCTTTCAATGTTGAGCAATCCGAGAAGTAAAAAATTGCTTACTGGTATGTCTGGTCCAGCAACATCTTTATTTCATTAATGAAGTGACGAGCAACTCCCAGTCTATCAAGAGTGTCGATGACAGAAAGGCGGCTGCGTATGTCCAGAGGATATATTGCTGGAGCTAATAAGGATAATGGACATAGGTGTAATGGTTTTCAGTAGATGTTAGAAAACAAGGTGGGGCAAGGAATTATGAGGACTGTTGTTAAAAAGGACAGACCTGCATTCTCGAATTTGTCTAAGACGGCATACAGATAGCGAAGGCAATCAGGATCTTGAACATGAGAAAAAGCAACTGCAGTTGTCGAAGGTGAATTGAACAGGGATCCATTCTGCCTCTGATATTTCATCACCATGTCCCAGTCTTGTGAGTGTTGGATACCTTCTGAAACATAGGCCAAGTAGGATCTCCTTCCCTCTGCATTTCTTCCGAACCCACTAATGTAGAAAGAGAGATTTAAATGGAGGATAAATAGGCATGCATACACTGAAATAAAAAGGTGGGGGATTATACCGTGTAAGCTCCACATTTCTCTTAGTCAGCATAGCATCTACATCGGTTGACTTGAAAGGGAGGTTCAATCCCAAATCTTTTGCATAGGCAATCATTCCAGGGAATATTATGTCAAATCCAATAGGTACATGCTGCTTCTGATCCATTACAGAAGCAGAATTGCAGTCAAGAAACTGGAGGCCTGCAGCAACAGCCAACAAGTGAGCATAAATATTCTAAACAAACGATCTCGATTTGGACCAACTCGTTGAGGGATGTAAGTTGTATATCATTACCTTTAGTGACTTGTTCTTCACCAAGGCCCCAACGTTGGAGAGCTAGAATGCAAGCCAAGGTAGAGGAGAGAGCATCCTTGGTTAAGGATGGATCACGGCGAGGGAGAGGGAGACCCCAAGAGCCATCACTCAGCTGGTTGTCCAGTATCCACCTAGCGCATTGAGGGAAGAAAGGAGAGTCTTCCATGGATGAGGTAGGAATTGGAACCATGGCCAGCCAAGCAGTGTCATATGCAGACACTGAGAGCTGAGCCTCATCAAACATCTTCTTTATCCTTTGTATTCTTGTCGAGTCTTCGCAGTTCTGCAACTGGAAGAAAGATGAAGCATAATTTGTAAGTACCATGTCTATCAGCACACAAAATAAGAAGAGAGGAAGAGGGCAAGGTAGCTTGTGATACAGTGATTAGGACGGAATAATAACAAGATTAAAGACAGAAAATGAAGAAGAGGGAAATAGGGGAATACCAAGTTGGTGTTGCTTAACTCTGCGGTGAGCAGAGATCCAGATTCTCTACATTTTGCTGCAGATGGAGAAGTTTGAAGTTAACTTGGTAATTCTGTTTAAAAAAACGTATATCATTGATATAAAGTGAAGAGAAGGTAGCTGAACCTGGAATAGCAGCAGGAACAAGAGGAAACACAGGGTTAGAAGAAATTGGAGGATGACTCCTTGCCATTGTCAAGCAAACGAACATTTTGTTTTACAGTGAAACAGGATGTTTCTCTGTTATAGCTTCACTTTGCATGTATGCATGCTCCCTGCAAAACTTTAACCAAAAGGGCTTCAATTATATAATCGAACAAGAAATTCCAACTACAAGAAAAACGTGGAATCCCAAGCCAATAAATAGCTTCGATAGTTTATTGAAAGGCATTTCCATCTAACCCCTTATTGAAAGGTCAAAAGCAACTATCACCATCAGAGAACGGCCTGTCGTGGCCAAAGGCATCACTGCATGCTCATTCATAGTCGGTCAACAATTTAACAAACATTATTGGACCAGCAGTATAAGCCTCTATCTCCACAACCACAAGTGCGACACAAGCTCCACCACTAACTTGGCATTATTGAATATTGAGGCATTCATTCAACACCAAAAAGTGAAGTATTGATGAAAAAATAGAGTTCAAAGCTTGCAACTCGAGGACTTCCAAAACAGAATTCTTTGAAGGAGACCGGAAGGAAAGGGAGCAAAGGATCCCGCGTCCAAGCAAGCAAAAGTCATCTCCTCCCCTTGGTGCTGCTGAATTGTTGAAGATGATCAAAACAGAGAGAGAAACAGATGTTTTGTTAGGTTGGAGAGGAAATGTCGGCGATGTGGTCGCGAAATTGGAACCCACCCTCCTAATCCTAATTCCTTCAGTCTTCTTTCATTGTCGCGTCTGGTTGCTGAGCATATGGACCCAGTACCAGAGCTCTTCTTCACGCTTCACCGCCTGCCTTCACTCGCTATGTGCTCGTCGCCGATTCCGCCTTCGAGCTCGTCATGGGTCGGTCTTGTTCTCCTCGCCGGCTCGTTCTCTTTTCAATTGTAGGAAGGGGGCATCCGGGTCTCCCGCCGCCGATCATCGACACTATCCCCGCCGCTCTGTTTCCGTTCGGTGATGCGTCTCCCTCCCTTCCCTGGCAATTTTTTCAGTGGTTTCGAATTGTCTCGGTCGCCATTTTCCGGCGACTTGTCTTCGCCCTTCCAGCGTTTTGGCTGCCTATGGGCTTGGATTGCCGCAGTTGCGATCCCCAGTCTTCCAAGCTTCATCTTCTGGCGTAGAACCCTAATTTTATAATCGAAAATGGCTACTGATCAGTCGGAGGTTCGACATGGATGGTCTTGGGGCTTTGAAGAACGAGCAGCCCTCATCCTGATTGCGATTGCGTTAAATATGAATCCAGTTTTTTTTTTTTTTTTGGCGCTACTCTCAGATTATTATTTGTTTCTTAAAATATATTAAAGCAGTTTAAAAAAAAGACCCCATGCACGTAAGCTTCGTAGCCCTCCCCGCAATTTTCGGAATTAAGTTATGTTTTTGCTTTTTTTTTTTTTTTTTTATTCTCCGTGTTTTCATGCTGCGGTTTCATGTTTAAATTTATTAAATTAGGCACAAAAAACGGAAAAGTTTTTCGTTAGTTATTTGGCTACGTTTTTTTTTATAGCTATTTGGCTACGTTCAAATACAGATGTTTATCTTACCCAAAAAAAAAAAATACAGATTTTTAGGAAATGTGTGGATTTTTAATTAGTTTTTGACGTTTGAAATTTTAATTTAATTAGTTTTTAACCAATTCTTTATACCCTGATGTTTAATATACTCTTACATTAGTATTTACTTATCTACAATATACATCAAATTTCTAATGCAGAAATGTTATATATTTTAAGTGCATGTAAAATAAAAACTTTGAAATCAAAGAATTTGATTGGTCGAAATTATCAATGATTTTCATTTTAATATTAAACAAACCTCATGGTTTGGGTTAGACAATTAGGGATTGGGGTCAACCATTATAAGTTAAGGTATAGCATCATGTCCCAAACTCCGATTAATTCATTATCTAAATAGCAAAACTCAATGGAGCGTACAGTAGATTAGCATACTCCCAAACGTACGCTAGCCTAGACTATATATGTGTGTGTGTGTGTGTGAATGTGCAATGGTTTGGTCTGTATCGTACAACACCGGACAATTACCGGATTGTACCGGATGGAACATATTGTGGGCGCATTCTTAATCGTATTAATATTATAATTATAAATATTACAAAATGAACCAAATTGATATTTGACAAGATTAAATGAATGAATCCAACGATACGCCGCTCCTTAGTTCTAACATCTCTTTTCTCTATTTTACTACATTAATCACAATTCTTATAAAATAATTGATGATATTAATAACAAGGTTACTATAATATTAGTATTATCATAAGTATTAAATTTTATAATATTTTTTTATCTTTTCACTTTATGATAAAATTGATATTGGAAAAATAATTTGATGAATTTAAAGTGAGTTTCATACTAAAAACAAAAATTTATAATTAAAATAATTACATTAAACAAAATTTTTAATTAATTTATGATAAAAATAAAAGTTGCCACGACCATCGGCCGGGAAGAAAGCTAGTAATACTTTAATCCTATTTGTGAAACTGGCGGCAAGGGAATTCTTTTCAAAAAGAAACATCTTTTTCGGAATAAAACTCTCAAAACGACGATATTGTCGCTCATGAACGTACAAAGCACATTAAAATAGATTGTCATATTATTCGTGATCGTATCTTGTCAGGTTTGATAAAAGTGTTGTTTGTCAATAACGAAAATCAGCTTATTGATATTTTCACGAAGTCTTTGGCAAGTGTTGTGTTTGCAGGACTCATCTCCAATCTGAATCGTGTGGATATTCACGCTCCAACTTGCGGGGTTGTTGGAGGACTCAAATGTAAAGATTTAGTAATATATGTGTTTGATTGTTATATTTGTTTACTATAATGTTGTTTTAGTTATTTGACATATATTAGTTCTCAATCTAGCGGTGTAGAAGAACGAAATCACCAAACTAGCTGGGGTTTTTGCTGATTAGGCATTAGGGCCGGACAAATTTCGCGACCAAGGTAGCTATCTATCAATGTTTTCGGTTCTGAAGACAATAGGCTAAATTGCAAGTTTGGTAACTGGAATTACTTAAAAATGTCACGTTTGTCACTAAAATTAATTTATTCTATCCGTAGTCACTTAAATTAGTTTAACAGTTCAAGTTTGGTCACTGGCCGTCAGTCTCCATTAACTTTTGCTGATATGGCGGTCAACTCTTATAGTTGACCGTTAAATGAGTGACGTGAAATTTAAAAAATTAATAAAATAATTTAATTTAATTATTTTTTATTTTCCACCTAATTATTATAAAAACAAAAAAAATCTAATTCCTTTTAATTATTTTCAACAGCCCGTGGCCGTTCCTCTCCCCTCCGGTCTACGACCTCTCCCAGCCGGCCAAGCCCCGGGCCATCACCGTCTTCGTCCTGTGAGCATTCGAGGAGGCCTACAGGTCTGTCACATCCTACACGTACACGTAAAACTCTTTGTACATTATTATCAAAACTCACCAAAACTCTCCTTCAACGCAGACGCTTCTTCTACTTCTTTCCGGAACTGCTGCTCTTCTGCCCGCTGCTTGTAGGCCGTTTCTTCGGGGAAGAACAGTATTTGAGATGGTAACTTACGAGGGAAGGCCCGAAAGTGATGTACTTCCCCGCGTTGCTGAATGTTGTCTCTGCATCATCCCTCTTACAAAATACTACCCTGGCCCGGCTGCTCTTCTTCAGGATCTGCGTCTCGGATTCCTGCAGCGTCCCAAAATGACCAAATATCTTGTTCAACTCCTCCACTATAGGAGCTGACTCGTAGTACGTGAAGTTCGGGATCAAAGCGGTGGGAGATGGATCATCATCACTGGATTTCTCTTCCACCTGCTCACTCGGCGGCTTCACCACTGCATCCGCGTCATCAGCATCTGCTTCCTCACCATTTTGCTGCTCGGCTGCCCTATTCATCCGTTGCTGGTAGTCCAGCAGGTGCTGCTATAACCTCTTCTTCACCATTTTTACATTCCGATATCGATTTTTCTTCGAGGATTGGATCGCTGGCTTCTTCCTCGAGAATTTTGGTTGCTGGAGAATCCAATTTGGTGGGTGATTTTTCCCCTTGGATTTTGCAGACCTCTTTTTTACTTCCTTGCTTCTTCTCCTCTTTAGTCCTTTGAGAAGAAGGGCCATCATCGTGGGATTTCAGTATTGGAATTGAGGAGGCCCAAGACGGTGATGGCGCGGGACTTGGCCGGTCGGGAGAGTTCGTCGACCGGAGGGGAGAGGAAAGACAATGGGGGTGGAAAATAATAATTAAAAGGAATTAGGATTTTTTATTTTTATAATAATTAGGTGAAAAATAAAAAATAATTAAATTATTTTATTGATTTTTTAATTGTCACGTCACTTATTTAACGGTCAACTATAAGAGTTGACCGCCACATCAACAAAAGTTAACGGAGACTAACGGCCAGTGACCAAACTTGAACTGTTAACCTAATTTAAGTGACTACAAATGGAATAAATTAATTTTAGTGGCAAACGTGAAATTTTTAAGTAATTCCAGTCACCAAACTTGCAATTTAGCCGAAGACAATATAAGCTATATCGCTAATCACATAAGGGACATGAGGAATTTTGGGGTAAATTGCAAGTTTGGTCATTGGAATTACGAACAATTTCATGTTTGCCACTAAAATAATTTATTCCATTCATGGTCACTAAGATTAGTTCAGCAGTTCAAGTTTGGGCACTCTCCGTTAGTCTCCATTAATTTTTGTTGATTTGGCAGTCATCCTTTATAGTTGACCGTTAAATGAGCGATGTGACAAATAGAAATAATAATAAAAAATTCATTTAATTTTTTATAATTTCCACCTCATTATTACTGTAAATTTAAAAATAAATAAAACAAAAAAGAAGTCAAACCTGCAATCTGCGGTCGGAAGAACTCCGACCAAGGTCTGTCCCGTCGCGAAAAAGATGCCTTCTCCAAACCTCTCTCCCCACCTCGACCTACTAATTCGATGCAATCCCCAAATATTCGTCCACTAGCAGCACGTAACATACCACCCCCTTCGAATAAGTCTTGTCCTCAAGACTTATCCTGGCTGTTCAAGATCCATGTCGACTTCATAATTGTCTACTGCTTCCAGCATGAAGAGCTTCTTGCTGAGATGAGCCACATGATCCCATTCCTTGCCGGATAAATCATCTGCCGTAGCGTCACCGCCACCATCATGATCGCCATCACCCTATCAACCTCGACTCCCTCCTAGTGATCGCAATGGGTCGGGGTGGGGCAGGTACCTCAATACCCATGCCCGCCCCATGCTACTATGGGGTGGGGGGGGGGGGTAATACTCGTTCTGTACCCGTGCGGGTATTACCCGCCCCACCCCATAGTAGCATGGGGCGGGCATCCAGAACGGGGCGGGTCGACCCACTCTTATATGCTATTTAAAAAAATTACAACCAAAATTTTACTTTTTACGATAAAAGAAAGGGAAAAAGACTTTATAAATGAATAATAGTGATAATATAATGGGTAATTGAGTCTATTTAGTTGAAAGATCAAGTCTATCTAGTTGAAAACAAAAACCAAAGTAGAAGATATATGAATGGATGGAATAAGAAATTGACCTAGAACGGGCCAAGAACTAGGGGTGGCTATACGGTCCGGTCCGGTTAAATTGGACCAAATTGATCCGGTCCCAGTCCGGTCTTTTAGGGAATATAAGGACCAAAGATTGGATTGGATACAATCCGGTCTTGATCCGGTTTGGTCCCAATTGATCTTGATTTTAGGTGTTGGGGGTCTCTTATCCGGTCTTTATCTGGGGGTTTTTACCTCAAATCTAAGCCCAAATATGAGATTGGATTGTTTGCTATCCGGTACCAATTCGGTCCCGGTCCGAGTTATACGGTCCTGTTTCGGGTAAAACCAAACAGTCCGGACCAAATAGCCAGTCCTACCAAGAACAGGGCGGGGGCGGGCCAGGACGGATTGGAAGTTGATACACATGCCCCGCCCCATGCTACTGCGGGTCGGATAATACCCGTCCTATCGAGAGTCAGGTCGGGTAATACCTGGCAGGGCGGGTTCAAATTGCCATCCTTACTCCCTCCGGTGCAACCTCTCCGACGAACCCACCACCGCCACCCAGGACTCCAACATTCGCCTCGCCTCGCTCCCCTTCCCCCCTTATCTCCTCACCAAAATTGCAACTAGTACGCCAGAGTCCCCCCTGAAGCTCTATCGCGCTTCTCTCCAGCTCAAATCTCTTGTTCGCTATCTCCTCCATGGTGGGACCCGCGCTCACAGTGCCTGATCACCGATGTGTTCTTTGGAGGGGGGGGGGGGGGGGCACGGAGGCGTCCCAAAGTTTGGTGATCCGAAATTTTACTTTCACGACGTGTGCCACGCATGGCAACTTGGAGTACATGTCGGTGTGGATGAATCTTCCTCACCAGAAATAGAGGATTGTCGATTCCGATTATCCAGGAGGCGAGGAGGTTCCGAGTTTTTGGGAAATTTCTGGTTTAAGATGAGTAAGCTTCCCCGGATCTTCAGAGATGCCGACGGGACGGACCCTTGGTCGGAGTTCTTCCGACCGCAGATTGCTGGGTTGACCTTTTTTATTGTTTTTATTTTTTTTTAATTTTTTGTAAAAATGAGGTGGGAATTATTAAAATTTTATTTTATTTAAATTTTTAATTTGCCACATCATTCTGTTGAGATATAGGGCTAGGCCCAAATGTATATATTTGTATTCGGCCTGTTGTGTAGTGCTGAGCTCTCCATTCCCTTAGGGGACTCGGCTAGAGTTAATTATACTAGACCTATATATAGCTACGTATGTACTATGTATCAAGTATTTGAATAAGACGATTACTGCTTCGACCGTGAACTAGTCTCGTTCTCCCTGAACGAGGAAACCACGTAAACTCGGTGTCGATTATCTTCTATTTCCGTTTCAATTCACATGGTATCAGAGCTCACTGCGATGGATTCTGAACACGTTACGACCCATCTCAACTCCAAGAACTATGTGCTCTGGGAGTTTCAGTTCTGGATTTTTGTTGAAGGTCAAGGTTTATTTGGTTTGCTCGATGGCTCTTCGAAAAGGCATGTCGTCCCTCCCTCCATCGATCAGGACCTCGCGACCTGGCTAAAGAATGATGCCAAGGTCAAGTCTTGGCTTTTGAAATTAGTTGATCCGTCCATTGTACTTGGACTCCGCTTGAAGACCACTGCTACAGAGATGTGGGCGTCGTTGGTCGAAACCTATGGCGCCATCAGCACTGCTCGTCAATTCGAGTTGTCCTCTTTACGGAAAATTCCAAAAGTACCATTGTTCAAATTTTTTTTCCAAAAATACCACCCAACCCCAAAAAATTCCAAAAATACCACCCTCTTTCAAAAACCGCCACTCAACCCTGCGGTTTACACGAAAACCGCTAGACGGGGGCGCGGTTTTCTATGCAAACCGCTGGGCTAAGGGGCGGTTATAAAAACCGCCACCCCCCCAGCGGTTTGGTCCAATTTTTTTTTCCCGATCAACTCCTAACTTTGCCCGAAACTTCAAACGAACGTAACTTTGCACTTGGGTATCCGATCGTAGCGATTTTTTTTTCATTTTGCATAACTTTTCGAGATCTACAACTTTTACTAGGATGAAATTTTCAAAACAAGAATTAGTTGTGGATATACGGGACCTTGGGAATAACTTTACCTTTACTTTTCACAAATCCATGTACATTTCGAAATTATGATTATGTTAAAAGTTGTAGATCTTGAAAAGTTGTGCGGAATAAAAAAAATTTATGACGTTCGGATTTTGGAGCACAAAGTTATGGCCGCCCAAAGTTTGACGAAATAAAAAAAGGCTCATTCTGGGTAGCAAATGACGTTTTTCGAGACGAAGGCGGGACCATATTTTGAATCAGTCCGATCTATGCTTCTTAATCATGGGGATATGAAGATTGAAGGCGTTCTCAGTGCCTTGGTCCGGGAAGAAACAAGGCTCCGCACTCAGGCGACCCTTGATGTTTGTCCATCCGCGTCCTCCTCCTCTCGGCCGACCTATGTGACTCAGCCCGCCCCTCCATTGGCTACCGCCTCGGTCACCCCGACTGTCCTTGAGGATCTTGTTAACAAGGCTATCGCCTCCGCTTTTGCTAGTCTTTAAGCTTCAGGTAAGATTCCTCGACGGTGGATACACAACTCTGCATGTTTTAACCACATGACCAATGATGGATCTGTTATTTCTCATGCTGATCCGCTTCGAAATTTGTCTCTCCAAGTGGCTAATGGCGAGACACTTGGTGTTGATACTATTGGCTCTGTGCAACATTCGAATATTGTTCTTCATGATACCTTACATGTTCCGCATCTTGTCCCTAGTCTTGTCTCTGTGGGTCAACTTATTGATAATGGGTGTCGTGTCATTTTTGCACTCTCTGGATGTTCTGTACTGGATATGAAGACGGGGCGGGAGGTCGGCAGGAGTAGTAAGCATGGTTGCCTCTTCCATTTGGAGAAGCTTGAGGCGCTGCTATCTCCATCATCAGTCTCGACAACATCTTCTGGTTCTTCTGTTTCGTCCCCCTTGTCGTTGGTGTCTAGGAGTTTCTATTTTGTTTTTTCGAGTCTTTCAACTGATACTTTTCGGTTGTGGCATGCTCGGTTGGGCCATCCCAATTATAGTTGGTTCTCTACTATGTTTGAACATGACCTGTTTGGAAAATATATTGATCTTGATTGTTGTTCTGAAATTTTATGTACTAGCTATGTAGAGGTTAAGACTACATGTATATCTTTTTCGTCTAGCCAAACTATGATCACCGAGCCATTTTACCTCATCCCCACAGATCTTTGGGGTTATAGACTAGCCACGTGTCGTCATGGATATAAGTATTTTGCTTTATTCATTGATCATGCCACTCGCTGCACGTGGGTTTATTTTTTGAAGCATAAGTCTCATATTTTTTCAATTGCCGTTGATTTCTTTACCATGATCAAAACCCAGTTTGATAGATCCATTTGTGTAGTCCGGTCTGAACCTGTGGGGTGTTTAGATCTAACCCTCTCTTACGACTATATGGTCCCCTTGGTATTCTTTCTCAAAATCCTGTCCCGGAGTATCTCAGCAGAATGGCCTGGTTGAGCGTGAAAAGAAGCATGTTCTTGAGGGGACCTGAGTTCTTCTTCTGGCCTCTCACGTCCCTTCGTCGTTTTGGCTGGAGGCTGCGGCTACGGTTGTCCGCCTCATCAACTACCAGATTAATCCACTTCTTGATCAGTCTAGTCCCTTCTATCGCCTGTTTGGCAAGCATCCTCCATATTTTCGTCTTCGTGTCTTTGGTTGTCTGTGTTTTGTCCTCCTTCCTCATTTTGAAATTGCTAAATTGATGTCTAAGACGTTCTGGTGTGTTTTTCTTGGCTATAGTGACTGATAGGGCAAAAGCGTAATGCTTAAATTCCTATCTCGTAGTAAAACTGAAAAGTCTGGGTATCGTCTCTCAGGGACTGGTATAACCTGATGATTTATCAATTCTGTAGAGCAAATTATAGGTGAAAATGGCTTGGGTTGATGAAATTATTATCTAATAGCAAATTAATTAAACAAAACAAGCAAATTAAAATAGTCGGGAGAAAATCAATGGAGAAAGCTCTGGGAGAAACACCGGGACTCACTACCTATCATATCAAAATTAATTCACATATTCCAATAAGTTTAATCCATATCTCTACAGCCAGGATATCTCTGGTGTGCTAGCTATCCCTGTCGGGAATTACTACTTACTAAACAATTAAATCAAATCCTACTCTTGTAGCTCAAAGAGTTAATTATTTAGCCTGAAGAACGATATCCCAATCAAGACCGCATAGTACCTTATTTAATCCACTGTCGCTTCGATAAGTTACTATGTTACATGAAATAGGTTCAGTTATTAGGGTTTCACTATCGCTAATAACCTAATTAACTACGATTCATTGTATTGGTGGCCAGCCAACACAAAGCATTAAGCAATTTCATGCAATAGAGATTGGAAGAAGAGAAATATGAATCAATCCATCAATTCTAGAAATAGCTACATGCTATGGTGTTTCCCCTAGAAATTGAGGTTTAGTTCATGAAGAAAATAAAACACACAATCATGTTCATAATCATCATGTCACGAATCGAAACAAAAGGAAAAGAATACCGAATTTGTCGAACGATCTGGCTCCAATTCCTTCTTGCTCCGATCGCTACCCTGCTGCTCCACACTCTAGCTCTGCTGCAATTCTGCTCGCGAGTCCGTCTACGTGTGCGCTGCTTGCTCTCTGTCGAAGTTCTCTCCAAAGTAGTTCTTGGCCCCCAAAAAATAATTCTCCCCGGTCCAACTTATTCCCCCAAATAGTGTTGTCCGGCCCAATTCGTTTTCACTCTCCGCTGCGTTCAGCTCTTCAAAGTTCAAAAGAAGACAAACAAGGTGGGCCAGAAAAATCCCCCAACAACTCCATTCTCGTCCAACTCCTGTCCAATTGAAGTCCCCACTAAATGACAAAGAAGATGGGCCAAATAATTCTCATAGTTCCCCTTTGCCATTGCTCTACAATTCTCGTACAAACTAATGGAACTAAGAGCCCATTCCTTCTCGGGCTTCTACTTTTGGGATGGGGAAATTATGGTGGAGAAAATCAGGCCTTTTAGCGTGCTTCCATTGCTGCGTTTTGTTTGTGCAATCACATTTCTCATTTTCCTCACCTAAAACACACAAACGCATGGCACTCGGTGGTAATGGTTTTTCAACCATTCTCTGATTAATAAGCCCTAAAATAGCACCAATCGGCTTAAACATATAATGGGATAGCCACATAAAGCTCAAGAATCCAATATACTAAAGTCGATTATCACAACCCCACACTCAATTGTTGCTTGTCCCTAAGCAACGACTCAAACAACATAAACACATAACCATCCTTAACAATGACACATCACCAACTCACCAATCAAACACTCAAAACAAAACAAAACAAAACTTTCCTTGTACTCTTGTTGTAATCAGTAGTTTCTTTCTCAAAGGACAAGTTGTGTTTTAATGATCATACCTTCCACCCCACACTCAAGGTCTTTGCAACCATTAACCATTGACGGACTCAAATCCATCAAAAACTCAATTAGCAACACTCAATTCCGATCGTCGGTAGTGAGTGATTAACAACTTATGGTGCAACAGTTATTAGGATAATCTGACCACATCAGTGAGGTGCATATCTTGTGAGGACAATCTAGCTTACTCACACCAATCATAAGAAATTAACTAAGCAAGAGTCTAAAAAACAAATGGGGGAAGCTTTTCGCAAACTTGGTTTTAACTTTAAGCACATCACTACCTTTCTGACAAGGAGAGACTTTCTCTCTTTCTGATTTTGCTTGCCGAGTAGTCGTATTTAGTACAAGTGGGATTTGTTTCTTACTACCGACGACCGAGCAAGAGCAATTTCTGCTTCTTAGTACTCACATAAGGGCTTCTTTCAACTCCTTTTCCTCGGTCCGTGTGAAGGGTCACTGCACATCTCAAACGACACTTCACTCGACGAGGGATCGTACTTGATAAGCAACATTGTACGGTCGTGAACCGATGATCAGTTGAACCTTTCCTAACCCCTCTGTGCAATGAGTGGTTGCCTCGCACGATTTTGGCATTTTTACCCACACTTAAATTGTTATGGCAACTTTCTTATATTTTACTTGTCAGGTAGTGTTTTCTTTTATGAAGATACAGTTCACCCCATCATAAAACCTTTTAAAACAGAGAGACTCAATTCAAAGCCAAAAGCTCACAACATATGCAAGTAAGCACGGTATCCAAACATGTCGAATGGTCAATGTTCTCCACCTAACTACTTCACCAAAAGTCATTACACTATCCTCCCATAATAGAATGTTGCTAATAGAGTTTGCTAATTCAAAGCATATCAAGTCAGTCAAAACATTAAGCTCATTGTGAAGAACTTTGCAATTCAACACTAGTGGGGGTGATTTTAATGATTTCATTCATGCACAAACACAGTCATTTACATCATGTTACCACAAGAGTACAAGGTTTTGTTTTTAATTTTCCTAATTTTTAGATGTTTTTTAGCCATCAGGTTAGCACAGGAAGATTGCACCAGCACAGGGGGACTGCATGCAGTTTGGCTGTGCACAACCCAAATGACGGTTTTATTTTTATTTTTTTACCATATGCAATAGGGACAAACAAACACTAAGACTCACCACCCCACACTTAGGATGGAACAATGTCCCTAATGTTCAACTCCTAATCTAAACATGCACGGGTTTGACACAACAAAAAAAAAAAAATTTAAATAAAGAAAAGAAAACTCACCTTGGGTTGCCTCCCAAGAAGCGCTTGTTTAACGTCCTCAGCCTGACGTTCATGGAGCTTTCAACCAATGGGTATGGAAAGGTATCCAGAATACCCTCCCGAGCAATGATAGAATGCATAACCTCCATCCAACATATGAGTCACCTCTGCAGGGCCAGGTGTGCGAAAATTGGGTATGACCTTCTTAGCTTGCATGTTGGACCTCTTAGTGAGGTGTAGGTGGTACTGCAGCGCCTCAAGCAAGTACTCTTCCCGTTTCAATGTCAGTGAAGAAGGAATAATAACAGGAAGATTGAAATCCTTACCCAAATATCTATACTTGAGATGACCTGGTAAGGATTTCTGTCCTTGCTTTGATTTTAGAATCTAAGCTGATAGGACAAGTGATTCTTCAACTGATCCACTATCATAGAAAGAGGAATTTTTCCTTTCTCGAGCTCCACTTTCAAAGTCATCAAATGCATCGTGATTATGATCAACTTGAAAGACATTAAAAATTTCCTCCTCCTTACCTACTCGGAATGTCAACTTGCCTCTCCCAACATCGATGAGTGCATCACCAGTTGCTAGAAAAGGTCTGCCGAGAATTAGAGGCACTCCCTGATCTTCTTCCATCTCCAGAATAACAAAATCTGTAGGGAGAATAAACTTCCCCACCTTCACCAATACATTTTCCACCACTCATTTTGGAATTTTCACTGATCGATCAGCCAATTGAAGAGTGATCCGAGTAGGCTTAAGAACATCTCCCAATCCCAATTTCTTGTAGACTGAGTATGGCATCAAATTAATTCCTGCTCCAAGATCAAAAAGTGATTTATCGAACTCTGTACCTCCAATGACACATGGAATGGTGAAGCTGCCCGGATTATCCCTCTTTTCTGGTAATTTATTCTGAATCACAACACTACTATCAGACGTAAGGGTTACCTTCTCCAGATCAGCCCATTTGCGCTTCTTTGTCAGCAACTCCCTTAAGAATTTAGCATATGTAGGCATCTGTTCAAGTGCCTCCGCCAACGGTATGTTGAAATAAAGTTGCTTGAAGATATTCACAAATTTCTTGAAGTTTGGGTCTTCCATGGGCTTCATTAACCTTTGAGGGAATGGTGCGGGAGGTTCATAAGGCTTTACCTCTTCATTCTTGAATTTTTCCACTTTTGGAGGTGCACAGGCAGAATGCTCATACACAGGCAGAATGCATGCAGTTTGCCTGTGCAAGTCAGATTTTTCAGCTTTTGCACTTTCTTCATCCTCTACCTCTGTGATGACTCGGTATTTGCACATGTTTTCCCCTTTGTTTCTTGATTTTTTTAGCTTGAATTATTGCGTCTTTGTCCTATTTTATGCTAGGTTGTGTTCCTTTGTCACATTTCAGGTCCTAGCACATAAAGTGAAGCATAGGCGCAAGTTTCAAATCAATCAGATATCAATTGAAGATTCGGGAGAAGAAGCTCGGGCATGACCTGAAGAAGAATGGATTTCTACCTCACTTTATGGAAAAAGAATCATGCAAGCTTGTCATGAAAAGAAAGAGGACGAGACTACGAGCGTCTGGGATCAAACGGGGACTGATTCGGAGTCCGGACGAGGGAGAAACGAAGCATTAAACAGAGGCTGAGCAAGCCACACGGGCATCCTGGAACTCCACAAGGCCGTGTGGGTCGTGGCCGTGTGGAAATCACCGAGCCTTCACACGGGCAGCTGGGAAAGCCACACGGACGTGTGGCCTGGCTGCGTGATCGGGAATTTCTGTTTAAAACTCGATTTTCAGCCAAAGGAAAGGAGCGAGCTGGGTTTTTGGTTCCCAAACACCCAAGGGACGAACCCTAGAGAGAGAGAGCGACTTCGGAACATTCTTGGAGCTATTTTGGAGGATTTCTTCGCCATTGGAGCTCGGGAATCAAGCTTGGAGATGGAGATTGAAGATCTAGATCAGATTTCTGCATTCTCTCTCTTCTCTATGGAGTAACTTCCCTTCACTTAGGTTTTGAGGAACCCTAGTTCTATGTGTTAGGATCTTTCTTGTATGAAGTTTTGGATGCTATGTTGTTTGATTATAATCGATTGAGGCATGATTTATTGAGTCAATTGATCTTGATCAAATTCTCTTGATTTCTGCTTTAACCTATGATAGATAGAATCTGATTAGGTTAAGAGAGCTTCCTTGATTGATGGTGGTGAATTGGTTATACGAGAGTTAGTCAATCTACTGCTTTGTACTGGAATCCAATTCCGGTAGTGGAGTTCTGTGTTCATAGCCTCAGCTTTCTATCCCCCTTGAAGGTTGTCGCCTGCCGGGTAGTTGGACTGAGAGGGCTTGGTCAGCTTAAGAGATTCCAAGCTACTGTCGGATCTTCCGCAGTTTAATCAACAGTAGATCAACCAAAGGTAATTGCAACTTGGACCTAATTGAGGAGCTAGGGGGAATCATACCTAAGTGAGTTCACAACTTGTAATTAGTAGAGTAGTCAGTAGAGTAGTTTATAAATCAATCCTTAATCTAGTTTGCTAGATAATGAACTAAAGCTGAGTAATAGTAACTCTAGAGACCCGTGGATTCGATATTTATTACTTGTGCCACTATACTGCAGTCCTTTTCATTGGTTACAATTGGCCATTGTTAGGTGTTGTGTCATAGCGTGTCAAGTTTTTGGCACCGTTGCCGGGGACTTTTTAGATTATTAGGAAAGGCATAAGTTTGTTACTTTAGCGTTTTTCATTTCTTTTCCACCCTTGCTTTTCACTTGGGTGTTTTTGTGGGTGCAGATTTGAATCATGGATCCTCATGGCTTCTCCAAAAATTGGGGGTATCCACCACCACCCGTGTGGTATTACCCCGAGACTCCCTGGAGCAATCAAGGAGGAGAAGACTATGGATTCGGGTTCCAGTACCAACCCCCTTACTACGGAGAACAACCGGACCCCTGGGCATATCAAGAACAACCTCATTACCAAGAAGAATTTCTCCCACAACCAGAAGGGCCATCGGCGCTGGAGTTACCCATGGCGGCCTTGACGGGCCATTCTGCAGAGCCATGCTACACTCCACAGCCAGATCCAAACTATGAATTGAGGCTTCTCATGGAACAGTTTGCTCGAGACAGTGAGAGAACATGCTCCAGGATGGATCATTGTGTCCAGGCCTATCGTGAAACAGAGGAGGTCCTCCTGAGCCTTAAGAAGAGCGTCGATGATCTTGAGCGATCTTGTGCACAACCTGCTCCCGATCAACCTTCTGCTACCATACTAGAAGAGGAGGAGGAAGAAGAAGGCTACAAGGACATTGTGGAGCACACTAAAGTTGTCACGGAGAGCTCCCCTGATGATCATGATCAGAAATGTCCTGTCATAGCCGACCACACCTTCCCACATCCCAAACTGAGCTTTGAAGAGGCGGGCATGAGTGAGGAGATGCAAGAAGATCTCATGAAAGAAATTGCTTGGCAGCTTGCTCTCCAATCGGTGCTAGAAGAAGAAGAGCAAGAAAGGGTGCAGAAAGAAGTTGTGGAGGATGACGAAAGTGAAGCAGAAGGAGTTCTTGATCATTTCCCAGGGGTGATACCACATGAAGAAGAAAGGGAGGTTGAAGAAGCAATTGGTGTCCAGGCTGAGGATGAAGTTGAGGTGGAAGAGGCTTGCACCGACCCTATAATACAAGTAATATACCCACCAAACTTCGAGGAACTACTTAGCAAGGACCCATTTGCAGTGTCTCTTTGCCAGACCAAGGCCACATCGACATCGGTCCCTCTTGGTGGACGCGATGGTGGTCAATCGATGTTGTCATATATGGTTTGGGGCAATGAGACGAGAGAAGAGAAGAAAAGGTCTCGAGGATGGTGACTTCATCTGCATCAAGTGCACGAGCTTCCATCACCAGTCATACCACATGCTCGTGACTTGCGACTCCACCTCATTGATGAGAACCTCAACTTCAAGGAGGTTCTAGCATGGACCAAAACTTAGGAGCCATCGTCTAGCTCACGACGTGAAAGAAGCGCTTGTTGGGAGGCAACCCAACCAGTCGGTTTGCATTTCTTTCTCTATTTCTCCTCGGTTGAGTCAGTTTTGTTATTTGATTTTAGAGTCAATAACTCAAACTTTGTGAGATTTTGTGTGGTGTTTGCGTTCTGATTACTCTCTCTTCCTGGAATGCACCGCCTGACCCGTCCATCATCATTCACCCTTGATCTGGTAACTTCGTTTTACCCTCCTAATCTTTCCTCCATTGAGGACAATGTCGTGCTTAAGTGTGGGGGGGTGTTCGATTATGTGTACGGGTGAATGTTTGGCTGTTTGTGTGCTTGGAGCCTAGTCCACTGTCCAAATTTTTAAATTTGAGGGCTCCAAGTACGTGTTTCCTTGCAAATTTCCTGCTCAGTATGGTTTGAATCGACTTCTCTATAGTAATGTGCAACCTAGGGAGGTAGTGTAGCACTATGGAGGATGTTGAAGTATAAGATTTTTCCTATCTAGCTTTCTGTTGTGCCACTTGATTTTGTGAAGTAGTGGAGCTAAGACCGTTGAATTCATGTGGTAATGGTGACTCTGTTTGGATTGTGTTATGGACTCGTGTATCGAATAGGGTGCTCATATGGAAAATGGGGAGCAGTTGGTCCTCCATGTCGAAATCATTGAAATCTTAAACATGGGGTAAGCCCAATGTGTGTGGCATCGTTCATTTCACAAAATCGGGTTTTGGAAGAGATTTTAGTGATCCTTAGTGGGGTACTCCTACAAGGTGAAGCTAAGCTATCTCTAGTACAAGTAAAATTTTCACCCGTTGAACGGTTTGCCTACTTGAGGAGGTGTTTTTAAGGGCAGGGATAGAGCTTCCGACCCCCCTTGATTTCATTGACCCTCCACACGAGTTGAGGAAAAGGAGTTAAAAGAAGTACCCTGGCGAGCGCTAGATGTAAAAAAATTGCTCTTGCTCGACTAATAAGGGTCGACCGTGCAAAAGACTGCAGTTGGAACCCCCGCCAAGTGAATGAAGAAAAAAAGAGAAAAAGAAATGTAAATGAAAGTGCAAAAAGGGGTTCCAACGGTGAAATGAAGTGAAAGAGCACCCCGGTACAACGAGTCCTTGGTTGTGAATGGTGTGAGTCCCTTTGTCCATGAACTGACTGTCTTACTTCTACTTCTTCTCATGTTCCTGGCTTGAGTCTAGTACTCGCATTGAGAGAGATAGGGGACGTCTTAGAAGACCAGTTGACCTCGTAAGCTTCTATATGATCTAGGAAATCCTCTACCGACGATCGAGGTTGTTTGTTGCTATAGAGGTCTGGAGAGCTGCATTGGTTTCAGTTAGGTTTGCTTGGGGACAAGCAAACAGTTAAGTGTGGGGGGATTTGATGCTCGGTATTTGCACATGTTTTCCCCCTTTGTTTCTTGATTGTTTGAGCTTGAATTATTGCGTCTTTGTCCTATTTTATGCTAGGTTGTGTTCCTTTGTCACATTTCAGGTCCTAGCAAATAAAGTGAAGCATAGGCGCAAGTTTCAAATCAATCAGAGATCAATTGAAGATTTGGGATAAGAAACTCGGGCATGACCTGAAGAAGAATGGATTTCTACCTCACTTTATGGACAAAGAATCATGCAAGCTTGTCATGAAAATAAAGAGGACGAGACTACGAGCGTCTGGGATCAAACAGGGACTGATTCGGAGTCCGGACAAGGGAGAAACGAAGCATTAAACAGAGGCTGAGCAAGCCACACGGGCATCCTGGAACTCCACACGGCCATGTGGGTCGTGGCCGTGTGGAAATCACCTAGCCTTCACACGGGCAGCTGGGAAAGCCACACGACCGTGTGGCCTGGCTGCGTGATCGGGAATTTCTGTTTAAAACTCGATTTTCAGCCAAAGGAAATGAGAGAGCTGGGTTTTTGGTTCCCAAACACCCAAGGGACGAACCCTAGAGAGAGAGAGAGCGACTTCGGAACATTCTTGGAGCTATTTTGGAGGATTTCTTCGCCATTGGAGCTCGGGAATCAAGCTTGGAGATGGAGATTGAAGATCTATATCAGATTTCTGCAGTCTCTCTCTTCTCTATGGAGTAACTTCCCTTCACTTAGGTTTTGAGGAACCCTAGTTCCATGTGTTAGGATCTTTCTTGTATGAAGTTTTGGATGCTATATTGTTTGATTATAATCGATTGAGGCATGATTTATTGAGTCAATTGATCTTGATCAAATTCTCTTGATTTCTGCTTTAACCTATGATAGATAGAATCTGATTAGGTTTAGAGAGCTTCCTTGATTGATGGTGGTGAATTGGTTATACGAGAGTTAGTCAATCTACTACTTTGTACTGGAATCCAATTACGGTAGTGGAGTTCTGTGTTCATTGCCTCAGCTTTCTATCCCGGTGAAGGTTAGTCGCCTGCCGGGTAGTTGGACTGAGAGGGCTTGTTCAGCTTAAGAGATTCCAAGCTACTGTCGGATCTTCCACAGTTTAATCAACAGTAGATCAACCAAAGGTAATTGCAACTTGTACCTAATTGAGGAGCTAGGGGGAATCATACCTAAGTGAGTTCACAACTTGTAATTAGTAGAGTAGTCAGTAGAGTAGTTTATAAATCAATCCTTAATCTAGTTTGCTAGATAATGAACTGAAGCTGAGTAATAGTAACTCTAGAGACCCGTGGATTCGATATTTATTACTTGTGCCACTATAATGCAGTCCCTTTCATTGGTTACACTTGGCCATTGTTAGGTGTTGTGTTTTAGTGTGTCACTCTGCAACTTTTTTTTCCCCAGATTTTGTTGACTTCCTTGAACTCTCTGGATCCTCCAAGGACTTTCCACTCCTCAATGTGATTGCTACAACTATGACATCCTTTGGATTTCTCTCAATATTTGCCGGTAAAGTCCCAGGAATCCTACCTTGAATATCTGCCAAAGTTTGAGCCATCTAGCCTATTTGCCTCTCCATAGCTAGCAGAGATGATTGCACGTTGTTGTTGATAGCTAGCTGTTGTGTGACAAATTGATCTAGACCCTTGAAATTATTGTATGTTTTCTGCAAATGAGCCAAAATCAACTCCTCTAACTGGGGCTTCTTCTCTGATTGAGGCTGCTGTTGTTGAAAACCAGGAGGTGGGATGTTTCGAACACCAGCTGGATCATTGTTTGACCATGACATATTGGGGTGATGTCTCCATTGAGGGTTATATGTATTTGAATACATACCACCCTGGCCTTGACTTCGCGGATTATTGATATATTGGACATCTTCCAACTGAGCTGCTCCAGTGGACACATATCCCGATGATGAGGACCCTCGCAAAGTTCACATGAAGCAACCTCCTCTTGTCTACCTAGAGCAATCTTGGCCAGTCTTCGTTCGAGTGAATCGAACTTAGAATCTAGCTTAGCATCTATCTTGGCTTCTAGACTTGTAGCTCTGTCAACCTCATGCAAGCCTCTGCTTCTTCGAATACTGGTCTCACTACCCCATTCAGTGGCTCTGAACAGATCTTCTCTACTAGATCATATGCTGCTGGTGCCTCCATGCTTGTGAAACCATTCCGTGAAGCATTATTCAGAGTATCCTGGAACTCCCTTCTGATTCCATTGAAGAAAATAATGATCACGTTCCAATCTTCAAGACCATGACTTGGGCATCTCATCAACAGTCCCTTGTAGCGCTCCCATGCCTCAGTCAGACTCTTGTCTTCAGCTTGTTTAAAAGTAACAATTTCCTCCTGCATCTTCATTTCCTTGACAAGAAGAAAGTACTTATCCAAAAAGGTCTTCTCAAGCTGAGCCCATGTCGTGATGGAACGGGGTGTTAAGTTCTGGAACCAGTGTGATGCATTCCCTAGTAGAGAGAACGAGAACGTCCATAGGCGAATTGCATCATCAGACACTGTAGGCACTTCATCGTATCACATATGCTCGCGAATCGGCGGAGATGCTCGTGAGGATCCTCACTGCTAGCCCTGGAGAAAGTATACCCGTTGGTGATCATGTTGATGAATGTTGGGGTAATCTCCATGGTTGCATCCCCAGCCGGAATGAGAACACATGAAGCTCGGGCTCCAGTCCTTCGATTCAAGCGAGCCCTAATCGAACGATCCTGGTCTGCCATGGTGACAGGCTCGATGTCGCGCGGTGGTGGTGGTGGTATCGGTGGTGTAGGGATGACAGGTGATGAAGGCTGCCCTCTTTGTTGATGACTATGGGTTAGGGAAGGCCTAATAGTTGTGGTTGGCTGCTTCCCTAACTTGACCTGCTTCCTGTTATGTCGGCATGTCTTCTCTATCTCCAGATCTAGTGGTAGTAAATTGCCGGTCGTCCTCCTAAGCATGCACAAAAAGGATAAACCTGAAAATTCACCTGCACACTAGCACACGGATTAAAATAGTTCACTCACAATAATCAATTAAACCAAGGTATGGCATTCCCCGACAACGGCGCCAAAAACTTGATAGGGCAAAAGCGTAATGCTTAAATTCCTATCTCGTAGTAAAATCGAAAAGTCCGGGTATCTTCTCTCAAGAACTGGTACAACCTGATGATTTATCAATTATGTGGAGCAAACTATAGGTGAAAATGGCTTGGTTGATGAAATTATTATCTAATAGCAAATTAATTAAACAAAACAAGCAAATTAAAATAGTCGGGAGAAATCAATGGAGAAAGCTCTAGGAGAAACACCGGGACTCACTACCTATCATATCAAAATTAATTCACATATTCCAATCAGTTTAATCCATATCTCTACAGCCAGGATATCTCTGTTGTGCTAGCTATCCCTGTCGGGAATTACTACGTACTAAACAATGAAATCGAATCCTACTGTCGTAGCTCAATGAGTTAATTATTTAGCCTGAAGAATGATATCCCAATCAAGACCGCATAGTACCTTATTTAATCCACTGTGGCTTCGATAAGTTACTATGTCACATGAAATAGGTTCAGTTATTAGGGTTTCACTGTCGCTAATAACCTAATTAACTACGATTCACTGTATTGGTGGCCAGTCAACACAAAGCATTAAGCAATTTCATGCAATAGAGATTGGAAGAAGAGAAATATGAATCAATCCATCAATTCTAGAAATAGCTACATTCTATGGTGTTTCCCCCCAGAAATTGGGGTTTAGTTCATGACGAAAATAAAACACACAATCATGTTCATAATAATCATGTCACGAATTAAAACAAAAGGAAAAAAATACTGAATTTGTCAAACGATCTGGCTCCAATTCCTTCTTGATCCGATCGCTACTCTGCTGCTCCGCTCTCTAGGTTTGCTGCAATTCTACTCGCGAGTCCGTCTCCGTGTGCGTTGCTTTCTCTCTGTCGAAGTTCTCTCCAAAGCAGTTCTTGTCCCCCAAAAAATAATTCTCCCGGTCCAACTAATTCCCCCAAATAGTGTTGTCCCGGCCCAATTCGTTTTCACTCTCCGCTGCATTCAGCTCTTCAAAGTTCAAAAGAAGACAAACAAGATGGGCCAGAAAAATCCCCCCAACAACTCCATTCTCGTCCAACTCCTGTCCAATTGAAGTCCCCACTAAATGACAAAGAAGATAGGCCAAATAATTCTCATAGTTCCCTTTTGCCATTGCTCTACAATTCTCGTACAAACTAATGGAATTAAGAGCCCATTCCTTCTCGGGCTTCTACTTTTGGGATGGGGAAATTATGATGGAGAAAATCGGGCCTTTTAGCGTGCTTCCATTGCTGCGTTTTGTTTGTGCAATCACATTTCTCATTTTCCTCACTTAAAACACACAAACGCATGGCACTCGGTGGTAATGGTTTTTCAACCATTCCCTGGTTAACAAGCCCTAAAATAGCACCAATAGGCTTAAACATATCATGGGATAGTCACATAAAGCTCAAGAATCCAATATACTAAAGCCGATTATCAGTGACATCCATAAAGGTTATTTGTGCTTTGACCCTACTGCTAGGCATCTTCGTATAGCTTACAATGTTGTCTTTTTCGAGAACCTTATGTACTATACCTCATCCACCGAGTCTCAGACTCTGTTTGATATCTCTTTCTCCGTCATGTTCTGATGATGTT